CGATCCAACAATTGACGCACCGTTTCTACATTGCCTTGGGCAGCCGCAATGCTTAGCACTGTGCGACCCTCAGAGTCCATGCAATCAATGCCGCAACCCCAGAAAAGCAACAGGCGCACCACAGTTGCATGACCCGCCGTGCAGGCGGCCCACAGTGGTGTACGACCCATGAAGTCTGCCAGATCCGGATCGGCAGCATTCTCGAGCAAAAGCTCACAGACCTCGGCGTTGCCCTCAAACGAACTGACCAGCAGCGGCGACATGCCATCGTTGTCCAGCTGATCCGTGTTAGCGCCATGATCGAGCAGCGTGGAGATGACTTTGCTGTAGCCGGAGGAGCCGCACAAGGCAGCTACACACAGCGCACTGCGTCCATCCAGATCCAGATGGTTGACATTGGCGCCATTCTCCAGTAGAATCTCGACAATATCATAGTGACCCATGTATGAGGCGGCAATCAGCGATGTGCGGCCCTGGCGATCCACAGAATTGACATCCGCGCCCGACTCAATCAACAATTTCAAGATATCCTCGTGGCCGCTCCAGGCTGCTGCGCGAAGTGCAGTGCGTCCCTCTTTGTCGGCCAGGTCGATCTTGCAGGCGGGTTGTGCTATGAGCAGCCTAACCACCTCGCTGTGCCCGCCCCACGATGCAGAGCGCAATGGTGTCCAGCCATCGCGATCCGCATGGTTGACATCCACTCTCTTCATGCGTCCGGTACCATCGTTACAGGGCTGGGAGAAGCTCAGCAGCAGCTTAATTACCTCCAGATGACCATTCCTCGAGGCTATATTGAGAGCTGTTTGCCCGTTATAGTCCTCAATCTCCAAGTCAATGGGGCTCTTGCAGGCATTGAGAGCTCGCTCCAGCAGATGATGATTGCCATCATTTGCGAGAATATGGATTAAGGCCTTGCCCTTGTGCAGCTCAATGTGATGCGAATCGGACAGCTGATGCAACGTGCTCGAAGCGTTCTCATCTTGGCTTTCATGCGGTGGCTCACTCAGCTCCGAGGGGCTCATCGTGCGCTGCGTCTCCTGAAGGCAACTCTTCTCGCTGGACAACAGCAGATCTGCCAGCTCAAAGTCAATGTTCTGGGACTTCTCTGACAGTTCCGGTGACATAAGCGAAGACTCGGATGAGTTTTGGGTGTCAGCGTTGTTGATGCCGGTCTCGATGAGCAGCTTAAGCATTTTGGCATCCGTAGGCAGGCTTGGTTTGAAAAAATCGCACAGGAATTGCGCAAATGGTTCGCTAAGCTCGTTGGTAAGAAAGCGGTCCAGCATCGATCGCGTCTTGGGCAAAAAGTTGACATCGTTCTTAAAGTCGTGCTCGCATTGAGCGCAGCAGTTCAAATGATTTGTGTAGAAGCAGTCGCTCAGGTTCACGCGTGACTCTAGCAGCATCAAGATGAGATCCAGATCAATGTGCCGGCTGGTCAAGTACTCGCCGGACTTGATGAGATGATAGGCGAACCGTCGCACTGTGTTGGCGCATAACGTGTCCGCCACCAGTAAGTAGTACATGGAGATCATAACGTGGCCCTCATTAACATCGCAGATAAACTTTTTGGTTGCGAACTTCACATCCACCAGCCAATCTGCGAAAGAGCTGTGGAAAATCTTCAGGCGTTGCGAATTTGTGTCATATGCCAAAATGTTGCGCATGAGCTGGAGACGCTTCTCAAACTCGTGGCCATCGATGGTGTAGTTGTGCGTGCGTAAACAATTGAAGAGGAAGAGCTTGTCCACGTAGCCGGAGGAGGCCAGGAGTACATTGAGCAGTGGCCGTATTTTCATGTACTGCTTCTTATTGAACGACTTCTGGCAGATGTACAAATAGAGGCCGTTCAAGGTGCAGGGTATAAGCTTGATCTCGCGAAAGCTAAAGAAGTTGTCCTTGATGCCATGCAACACCTTTTCCAGGTACAATATGCAGCCATTCGATTTGATATAGAGCTGATGCAGCGATTCAATGATCTCCTTAGTTAACATGATGCTGTCCTTGAAGTCGGAGTTCAATCGATTTATAATATACTCCTGCACGTCCTTAACCACATGCGATTTGCGCAGATCATCCAGAGTTATCTTCTTGAAGCCTGTAAACATTTTTGTAATTTGCTTTGTCTGCTTCTTGGTGGTGCACACCAGGAACAGCCACTTGGGAAACAGATGTATGTGGTTCGAGAGCAGCTCGGCCACGTTGCGACTCTTGTGACTGGCCACGGTGCCACGGCCTCCCTTCAGCGTGGATATGAGATTTCCCTCATTGATGTAGTTCTCATCGATGGAGTCTATGAGCAGCAGCAATGCGGTCTTTGGTGGCGTCAGCTCGAGCAGTGGAAAGAGCAGAGCCTTCTTAAAGCACTCATCGGGATTCTTCTCGATGCTGTCCACGCTGAGGCACTCCAGGATCTCCGGATTCGACATCAGCAGCTCGTAGTAGCCATCGGCAATTATGGTTCGACAGCTCTTGGTCTTGGGCAACGGTGGTGGCAATGTGCTGGTGCTATTCTTAATCTTTGGCTTCTCGCCAGGAATGGGGGGCACACTTGCTACAGTTGGAGTGATCTCTCTGGGCAGTTCCACACGTTCCGCACTGGCACCAAAGTCAATGAGCGGCTCTTCCTCTGCCTTTTCCGGCTCTACTTTTGTCGTTTCCGGCTGATTCTCATCCTCCTGTGGCTCCTGTTCCGTTAATTTCTTGTCCGCTTCCGGCTTGTCTTCGTTGTGTTTCTCCTGCTTGTCATACTTAATGGCCGCCTCGATCTCGCTCTTCAGTTGCTCACTGACCAAGTCGGCTATATCTTCCCCGCCGCCCTGCTGTATTGCTTGGCCGTTGCTACTGGTAGCTGCGGCAGTCACCTGCTTCGCCGGCGATGAGACGCCGCTGCCGGTGCGACCTCGCTTCACTGGTATCTTTGACTTGGACTTGACAGGACTGCTTTTGGCAGCATCCTTTTCTTTTTCCTTCTCCTTCTCTTTCTGTTCCATTATTAGCTTCTGTTCCTTCTCGCTGCCTGTGTCCTTGTCCTGTTCGCCGCGTTCCTGAGCAACCGTGTTCACACCACGCTTAGGCGGATGTGTGCCATAGCTGTTGTTGCTGGGCCTCTCCACCAGATCTGCCAGATCCGGCGAATGCAGATTTTGAGTTGGCGCTGGCTCCGACTGCTGGCGTGTTAGGCTCGATTTGCCTGGCTTCTGAGTAGTCGAGGTGCGTCGTTTTTCAAACATATCCAGCTCCTTGGTGTCGCATTCGGTGGCTCCGCGCTTAAGCTCCTCGATGAGTAGATCTTCAGCATTCTCGTTGAGTGTAATATTATTCATTGCCTCATCCAACTTGGATTCCTGCTGCTGTGCTTCCTCGCGCAGAAAGGAAAAGCCCTCATCAATAATCTTCTGGCTGTCATCTCGATTTATGAGCGAAGCATGGCTGAGCAACTGCAGCACAATCTTTCTCATGAACAGCGAAAGGCTGTGACACTCGGGATTCTGCGACTCGATCAAATAGCATGCCAACAGCTTGCGATTGAGTATACCCTTGGTGCCTGAGTTGCCCTTCATGATAGCCTGACAAATGGAGGTCTTTCCGGAGCCATTGGAGCCCAGCACCAGGCAGCCATTGTAGCTGGAGCTGGATATGGCAGCCGCCTTAGCACGCGCTGACACATATCCGGCACTGGCCGCACCTAGAGCAGCCGGCATAGGCTTCTTGCCAGCCGTCCGTTGCTCCAGGCACAACGCGATCTTCTTTAACACCCACTCGCGGTGTATATAGACGGTGCTTACAATGCGATGATTACTGGGTTCCAGTGGAGCCAGACCATTGACTTCCTTGTCCGGCGAGTGTTTCCGTTGCATCAGCGACTCCAAATTGGCGGCTGTTTCATGCGCTGGCGGCTGTTGCTTGTCCAGCTCTACGCCATCCTCCTCGGGAGCGGAGCTGCCTGCAGCACCATTTGTTGGCGCCAGCTCGAGTGCAAAATTCTGCTGGACCAGATTAGCAAAGTGTTCTTCGCGTGCCAAATTGGAGAAACTCGAATTGGGACAATCTCGACCGCTAATCTCCAGCTTCTTATGCGCTTGCGTGGTGTCCTTCAGAAAGTTGAGGATGCGTCGATCCTCCAGCTGCTGATTGGGCGTAGTGTTGGCACCCAGCGAGGCCGGCTGGTTGTTGTATTTGGAACCGCCGACCAGAGCACTGGTGGATGCATTGGCGTCCGTTTCTCGCTCCACTTGGTCCTCTTCGTCATTGGCATCCAAATCGGTGACCTGGACAGGATTGCCATTGCGCATGCTGGCCAATCGATTCGAGTCCCGCAAATTAGACAGCTTGGCGTCTGTCGGTGGTGTCTCCATGACCGCACCATGTCGGCTCCGTTCGCTGCTCTTGTAACGATCCGACTTACGCAGCGGCGTCGCATATAGCATCTCCTTGGGCATGTTGCCAGTAATGCTGCCAGCATGATGTTTGTTGTTCCCCGGCCCCGAATTGCAGTTGCCTAACGAATTGGAGTTGGCATTCGGATTACTATTGCCGATATGGTTCAGCAGCGGCTGTCCCCCAGCCTGCGAGGACTTCTGATGATGTGGCTGCTGCTGCTGCTGCTGCTGTAGTTGTTGATGCTGCATTTTGCGCACGGATTCATTATACATGGCCTGACAGGGCAGATTCTCGTAGATGTCATTGCGCAGATTATCGTTGTCTGTGTGCTTAGACATTGTTGTTGCTGTTGTCTGCTCTCGGACTAGTACCAGCTTTCGAGTATTTACACAGTGGCTTTATCCTTGCGTTGCGTTTGAACAAAGTCTGCTGTCTGCTGCAATGAAACAAAGTACAATTTTATTGTAGGCTTTAATTTTGAATATTATGAGTTTTAATTTTTTTTTTTTTTTTTGCAATCTGTCGTGGAATTTGTTGATTATTTTTATATTGCCTTTAAGATATGCTATATTAGCTCTTATTTAACTAACGTGTCTTTTATGTCCCTTAGAATCTTCCTCGTTGGCTTTACATCGCACCTTGTTGCTGTTCGTTTTTATGATGGCTTCACTTTTTATAGCATCCCGCTAACAATTGACCTGATTTTGCGGACACTGTCAACCCTTTGGCACTCTTCACACATTCACACACATTACCGTAAAAATACATCAGAGGGCTGATACCAAAGTATACCCATATAGAGTAAGTATGCAAAGCGAAAGAGTGTAGAGTGAGTTTGAAACATATTCTTTAAATCCACAATGGATAATTCTCCTTAAGTTGTCCAATATTAATTTAAAGTTATTAATACGCTAGAACTAGAGCTTTCGAAATGATTTCTGTGAAGCTGTGAATTCTTGAGTCGACCCTCGTATGCACAATCTTCTCATTATATTTTGTAGAGCTTGTCTCTGGCCACAGCCTTTTGTTCTCGCTTTTTATCTGGGCCCGTTTATGTGCAATGTGCGTGGGCGGCTTTGGGTGGTTTCTCGCTGGCTGCGCTGCTTTGGGATCCTCGTGCTGAATGCTGCGCAAATAACACTCTTTATGCTGCAAAGTTTTTATTTTAAACTTCAATTTAGTCGTTGCGTTTCGAGCACTGCCTGGCTATGTTGTGTCTTGGGGCTGCTTGGAATGGGTTGCTTGGGGTCGAGTAATGTAACTAATGATGCGCTGGGTGCTTGTTGTGCAAGTTGCAGTTGGAAAATGGAGCAAATTCAGCACGTTTGCTGAACAAAATGGCTGAAGCGCTAAGGCTGCCAGAGACCTCAGTGTGCTAGTCGTAAAAATCGATGAGAACACAAAATGATTTACGGCTTGAAGTGTCTGGTGACGTTGCCAGCAGAAAAGTTGCCACAAAGTGTGGCAAGCACAATAACGTCGACGTTTGATAAATTACCATAATGTAACTAAGTCAGACGTAAAATCTTTTGATTAACCAAGTGACACGATACGACACTCACACATACATACATCCCGACATACAAATGTCCTGTCGGCCATTCGTCAAACCCAAATGAAAGGTCGGTTAGCCGAGCTTCTGTCCGTGTCGGCAGCAACCACAAATCCATCCCACAATTTTTACGGTGAGTTGCATGGAGAGCGATTCTCAAGTTACAGTTAGCTTAAGTTAATTACCGATGCGTGTCGTTTGCACCCAGGGGCAGAAAAAGTGACCCACACATATATGTATTTGAATGATTTCTTAAACAGTTGATTTATACTATGAAGCAGAGTTGAAGCAGCACGATATTTATTTAACATTTGTATAAATAAATCAATTTATAAGTATGAAATATAAGTAGCCTTACTTGCTCTCGACTGTGAAAAGTGTCTATAAATTTAAAATAAATTTTCTTCTTTTCCAAGGCACTCCTTTTTTACGGGCAACCCATAAAAAGTATGGATAACCCAGCCAAGCTGAACTAACATTCACGCTGCTGTGAGTACCAGCAATCAGAAACAATCAACTTTGCTCTCATTCACTGCGCTTTCAATTTGCATAAAACTATCCTGCAATCATAGCAGTTTCTCATTTATAAATCGAATTTGATGCCACTTCCATATTTCAAATGGTAATCCAATAGTTTTCATTGTTCTTTCTTTCAACAGTCGGCAAAAGCTTAAAAATACATACATTTATTTACTCAGATTGCATTTATCTTAAATTATTATGTAAAGCACAGTAAATTATATCCTGGTAGCTGTAGCCTGAGAACGTACGTGTGCGCTGAAAAAGCATTGGAATTCTAAAGTCGACTTTGGCAAAGTTTCATCACTTTTTTTTTATCCTTTTTAAAAGTTTAATTGGATCGCTTGTGCAATTTAGTTAATTAAACATACGACAGGCATCTAAAAACGCATCTTATTTGAATAAGCTAATGGAGGTAAACGTTGAAACGCTTTTCACCTTTCAATCACTTGCAGGGGCTTTTACGAACTTAGTCATAAAACTTTGCTTTTCAGGCTGAATATAAAATGTATACCTGACAGCAAAAACGTGCAGATATATGTATACGTATTTGTAAGGAAGTAAAGACTTTTGGAGTTTATGAATAATTTTTTGCTAAATATTTTCGTTCTAGTTGCACATAAATAAATTCAAAGGTCATTACAATTTTTAAAAATGTATTATTATTTTGGCTGTCGAAATCAGAAAAATATTCTGTGAATTATATGCGCACGTTGTAAAAATATCATCGATGGGCTGCCAAAATGAAACGTAAACAAGTGAAGTGCTTCAAACAAAGACGAAACAATTTTAATTAATTGCGTAAAATAAATAAAAGCAAAAGAAGTATTTCTGATGCCGAATATATGTAAGTATGCCAGGAATGTAAACACACCAAGCGCACACTCAAATGAATAAATAAATAATAATCATTGCACGCCTCGCAAGCGGAGCACATGGCATATGACAACAACTGTATCTACATCTGACTTTGCAATTGTATCTGTATCCCAAACTGACAGCAGCTGCCTGAACTTGGCCAGCGTGAGCGTGGGAATTTGTAAATTTTCCAGCTCCTTGCTGCGTGTCGCATTAATATTAAGCGAAAAAAAAAAGAAATGATATGAATATATACGGAAAACTTAGCAGTGAAACAAACTTTTGACGTTTGCCAGCTGCAGTTTGCACCGCTCATAATTGATATGTTGCAGCTACAACTGTAATCTGCATACTGTATAAAATATTTATTAATCAGCCCTCTCTGCGTGCGCGTCAACACTTTAAGGACGTCTGACAGGATACGCTCTAGTCATTTGCATTTACATTCAACTTAATCATTATTCCTGCTGAACGTATTCATATATTTTGAGTTTAATTCGCTGTTGCTGCTTGCCTTAAAATAAAAATAAAATAAAATATTCCATGCATTGCAAATACGAGGCATGTTGTTACACAATACAGCTGATATGGAAGCGTGGGTGTGCAATCAATGTCTGTCTATGCTGTGCTAGGTATGACTGCTGTTGCTGCAGGCAGCATCCTGGCGCTCAATCAGCACAGCGATTGTGCGAGCAAATATCGAATCAAATATTGCTACAAATGGTTTACTAGCACAGCCAATTCCACATACAGGTAGCAGATAAAATATCTATGCGCAGCAGATGCGGACTTTCAAATGCTCTATAGCAAAGGGATTACAAACTAAAGGAGAAGGAATTACACTAAATGCATCTATCCACTCATTCTAATATTCACAAAAATATTTGCACATTTCAACATCAGTTTCAGCGCTCTTAGTCTATTTAAGCTCAATTTATTAACTTAATCCCATTTGCTATTTCGACATGTATTCCTTACAATCAGGCTAGCTAGTTTGTCGATAGCCTGTAAAAAGTGATATTTCTAAAATTATATTTTTCTAGTTCGCACGAGTTGCTTTCACCTAACAAAGCCGATTAAGGGCTTGCATTTTCGCTTCAATTGAATATCTACCATATTTTCCTTGTATCCTTTCAGGGGCAGGTATATCAGCAAATTCTATATGTAAAAAGTTTTGTATACACACGTATGATACCCTGGATACACATTTAATAATATAGTACATACAATTATATGCTTTTTAATGGTTTAGAAAAATCATATTAAAGAAATATGAAATCAACTGTAACAATATAATAAAGCCCTTCATGAGCACAGGATATCGAAAATCGCTGGGCAGGCAAAAAATTGTTGAAAATTTTAGCTTAGAGCAACATCAACAGTGAGAGAGAGAGAGAGCAGCAAAAATAGCAGCATGAGCAGGAGGCAAAGGAGCAGCAGGAGCAGCAGCAACAGCCAAAGGACAAAGAGGAAAAGTTTCGCATTGATTTTCTAGTTGCTGCTGCAGCGGCAGGCACAGTTAGTTTTATATATGTATGTATATATATTTATGTATATATAAAAAGAAAATAGTTCCCGAGACGTAATCAAAACGAATGTGGCTCGAGTATTAAATGCGCTTAATTTTTGAAATACTATACGGATGTGGTGCGGTGGTGCCGGATGCGGCTGTTTAGTGTGCTTATGCGGCTGCCAGTACGCCCACATTTGTGAGCTGCCCCTTCGTTTGTTGTCCTTGGCTGCTACGTGACCAGAGCTGGCATTGTGTTTAGCGTTTGGTTTGCGGCGGTTGCTGTGGCTGCAGCGGAAGTGAATTCAATGCGGGCTCATCCAAACAGGGACAATACGATGCAATGCGATGTTGCAACGTACGAGCCGCAGGGCGAAACAAAACAGGATGTCAGGAGCTTTTCAGGATGCGCCCAGTCGTCCCCAGGGGCATTTGACGAACGCTTAATTAAACCTTAATGTTTCATGACCGCCTGAAATGTGAGCAGATATTCATAAATCATTGAGCGGCATTCGTCCGACAGCAACAATGTCCTGTTTGTCATCCTTTCAGCTGGCTGCCAAAGGACACACCCAAAAAAGTGCATAGCATTTGTATGCGAGCAAATTCCTGTTGCCTCCGTCCTTAAAAGCTCATCAACATTGCTCTGCAATGGGGAAACTTTTCGCATATTCTTTTATTTACTCTGCACATTTGTAAAGTTGAGTGCTGAAAGATAAACTGCAAACGCCCCATTGTTATTCAAGCAGTGAATGCACTGGAATTAGTTCAACTGCAGTTAAATACCCTGCCATTGAAGAGGCCCTAATAGCATCTACCTTGTCTCATCTACCAGCACGATTTAGCAATGTTTCTGTTGCACAAAGTTTATTTGAGTTATATTCAGTTAGCAGTCGTTCTACCAATAGGTATTTGATAAAATGGCAATTTTGGCAGCAACAAAACAACTACGAAAACAATTTACCATGCAAAAACTAACGCTTATCAGGAGCATGACAACAATATATAATCTGTCTAATAGAAATATAGATCTCTTTGGGGACGCATTCATTTTAACTATGCATTTTTAGTCATAGAATATTTGAGGCAGGCCCTGCTGTCTGACAGCTAGATAAATTGAATATTTTATACCTTATATTGTGGGTATTATGTAAATTTCGATGCTAAGCCAGACGAGCAGTCCGATACTCAATAGAGGCCTACCTAATTTTGAACAGTAAACGTAAGCTATAAGTTAAGATCTTAAGCTTATATGCATTGCTCTTTAGAAATTGGGTATTTGTCAGTCGAGCATTGTGTCGACGGAGTCTACAAAGTTGTTTTCATGTAGTTGCATTGTCTTCGGTAGCCGCTCTCGACCCGACCTGGGTTTTATCTATGTCAAAATGGTCGCACGCACGATATTGTGTCTTGTCTTTTTCTTTCCTTTTGTGCGCCTCTTTCTCCCCTTGTCATACTCAGTTGTTGTCTCTTTCTTTGTCCCTTGCTCTTCCACTGTTGTCAACTGGCTCGTGCTCGCTGTCGCTTTGTTGTTGTTGTTGTTGTTGTCTGCATATTGACATCGTTTTGACAAACAAGGTTCCTCGCTCCAGCACACGCAGTGCACCACCAGACACTCGCACCGCCAGCACCACCCGCGTGACTTTATTTCGTTGTGACATGTGCAGAAACACGCACTTCATGGACCTTTTGGCATTTCCGTTTCCTCAATGGGGCTTGGCATATTTTCAGCCTGTCTTGTTTGTCTTTCAATAAATGTGCGCGAGATGCGGTTCACAAATTCTCCAATTAACTATAACAAGCAAGAGCCAGCAAAGAGCCGTAAATTCCTGGACTTTTCGCATTACATTTTATAAAGACTCTTGGGCATCCTTTCACTACTATTACTTATTTGCAACTTTTATGGAAAAAGAGAAATTCAAACTGAAAATAATATGAAATTCATTGAATTTGAATAACGCTTGATCCACTCTCGCCGTGTAAATGTCTGTGACATGTCGCGCGGCATATGAAAACGATGTATGTAATTTGGTAGTAAATATATGAGTTGTTTTTATCTGTTTGCCGAGTTACATTTAATCAAATTAACAAACTGACAGAAGGCATACAACGGAGATGGCTCCAACGTACCCAAGATAGCTTGGCATTGGCCTGACATTTAACAGCTCGTCGTCCATGGCTTTATTTATTGATGAGCACACTGAGGACATTGTAAGGAGCTTGGGCACAATGTTTAATTCAGCGCATATCGTCTGTATGGCATTCAGCTGTCGAAAGGACACTCAGCTTGGCATTTTGCTTTCGTTTCTTTCTAGCGCTCGCAATCTAATTGAATTGACAACTTTCGTTGGAGCCGACTCGTATATAAAAGAGCATTACTTAAAGCTTTCATTCTGGAAGCGAGGAACTACAAATAATGTAATGCATGTCACTGCCTTCTCGTTTCAGGCTTTAGCCGGTCACTCGAGTTACGTCCTGGAAAATGCCTGCGCACGTTCGCATGACTCAGTCTGTCTACCTTCTTCGCCTCGGGCTTAATTAATGCTGAAGCTGATTACATTTACGGTGGCTGCACCTCCGTCCCCTCCTGCTCCTCCTCCACTGGTCTGCAGCATACGCTGCGAAGTGTGCAGCTACGAATGTTACCCATTTTGGCATTGATTTAGCCACAGCTTTGTTTGCCTTTGCTACCCCAAGCGCAGGTTGGCTTTAGCTCTACCTGTGACACGTTCCAGGGCAAACAGAAGGCAAAATGACAAACTGCAAACAAAATGGGCGTGATGGGGCGTGCGTAAGCTTTGGGTCAGCTTATTGTCGCTAAATTGCAACAATTCCGTTGCCCGACGTCCGTCGACCAGATTTACCTTGGCCCCGGTGCAATTTCGCAATGAAACCGGATTTAAGTTGACATTAAGTAAATTGCACAGGTGCTCTGGCATCAGAGTCAAGTGCAGGGCTACTTTTTATATAGATGGCTGCAATGAAATCTACATACATCGCCGGCAAAGAGCTATTGATTAGTTGACATAGCATATGACAGTGACTGATAACCCTTTAACTAGTCAATATATATGACTGATTTGTCAGCTGCCCATCAGATAGACACACTTCACATCCGGCATAAGTGGCATTTGTCTATGTGAAATGATAAGTGGTAATTGAGAAGAAAAATCCGAGCTATATATGGGTTCATCTGTCGAGTATTTATTAACTTCGATGTGACTAAACAATTGCAGTTGATTCAGATAATCGATTTCATTTCGAATCCATTTTTGTTATTTATATAAATTATATTTGTTTGTCAAAAGCCATATTCTCGTGGTGAATCACATGTTTGAATGGCTTTTATAAATGTTGTATCAAAGTAAATAATAGAGTCAACAGACATGCTTGTGTAAACAATATCTGTGTAAACAATATCTTTAGTCTATTTTGAGAAATTTAAATAAGTAGTAAACTGAAGTAAACTGTTCTTTACTTTGCATAATTGACACCGCACCTACCTAATAGACGAGAGACTATTTCATTTTCATCTAGACGAATGAATGAGTTAGCAGTGAGAATGCTTCTAGAAATATACGCATAGCTGAAAGAGAAATTAATGCAGAACAGATGAGTTGTGGGGTTTGCTATACCAATATTAGAATTTGTTTGTATTGTTTGTATACAGAAAATATTATAGTATATAAATATTTATATTCATATAAATATATATAAAACATGTGCATTTAAGCAAATTACTTTAAGTTATCGTTGTTACAAAATTCTTTTAAACCGCTTTAAAAACACCAAGAGCAATATTAACAATCGGCTCATTGTTAATCTACTTGCTAAAAGCTGTCTATTATCTAAACTTAATTGCATTTCACAGTTTCTATTTTTGGTTTTGTGCAATTTGTGTTTAATTCAGTGCACAGAAATCTGATTTGCGGCTGCATTTGATTTAGTTCTGTTGGCTGTTGGCCAAATGCATTTGAACACAATGCATAATTAAAATTTAGCCAATAACAATTGAATAGCTAACTCAAAAATCTTTAACACATTTTGAGTGGGTTTAAATCTCAATGAAATCAGAATTCAATTTTCTTTAGTGTCTTTTATATTTCATAAGTGAATCTATTTATTTATTTAATTGAGCAGGGCTGACATTTACATTAGCTTCAGTTGCCGGAAAATGGATAAGTGCCTGCGAATATTTCATTTCGACTCTTTGGCATTTAAAAGACTTTTTCATTCATTTATCAAATAGTCGAAAATCGATGTGACCCACTTAGCTAAATGAAAATGAAAATTTCATTGATGATCATCGATGGAGCATTTTATGTTTGCCATTTATCGCGATGCGCTAATCAGAGCCACGATAGCTTTCGTGATGGATGATGCTAATGGCACGCCATCACCCGCATCAGGTGTTTGTGTGGGTGTGAGCAACGACGCTTAAGAGCATCACACGCCACAGGCTATAATCATCAAATGCAACAACAGCAACAACAACAACAACCGCAACAACAACAACAATGTCTTCTACTCGACTAAAGCTTACCCTATTAGCACGCTGCCAGCTCAATATATTCCTAAAGGGTAAATTTTCAATAATTCACACAATCCATTTTGGCATCCTTAATCTGTAATGGAAAATTGATATGTTCAACTTGAGTTGCGCAAACTGAAGTAGTCGACTCGATTGATACTCTGTATTCAAAAACATGAACAAGTTAAGTCTATTAAGTCTATTATTTTTACGAAATATGAATTTGCACTTAAACTTAATAAACCCATTTAATTTGTTACAGGGTATTATTGAGCACCACCATTTTGTGTAAATTTGTCCTTTGATAGAACATGAATTTCAACTTGACGACAGCCAACGAACGAAGCTGCCAAAGTTGAGTTTTGTGAAGCTCAAATTAAATCAGCAATGGCAACCGAAACGGAACCAAACGTCACTCAACTCCACAGTCTTTGACATTGATTGGATTAAGCCGAGAAGAGTTGCTCTGGAAAGCCAGCTAGCTGACTGGGCCATAACCGCGTTAAGAAGAGCTTTCTAATCATTGGCAGCCACTTGCACTAATTGCCAACAGGATGAAAAATCAAAACAAAGAAAGAGAGGGAGAGAGCAGCAAGCATAGAGCAACAAGCAATATTCAGCTGTGTATATCTGGAGAGCTCTTCATCCATGCCAGTGAAATGAAAACCAAGCTGCTGCCAGCCAAGCATTGAAGGCGATAATGAAATATCGCCTGTTGCGCAAAACCGAGCGATAAACGCAATGGTTGAGACGCCACGCCGTAGCTGCCTCAACGGTTTGAAGAGCAGTTGACATGCAACTGTCGCTATGGAGTGTCGCCGTTTATTGAATTTCCTGCTGCCATTGATGCTAGGCATATCTGGCACATGGCTGCTGCCCATATCCCCCTTGGAGTTGATGGAGTTTGACTCGAGGTTTCTGGCACAAGTGCTGCGCAATGTGAATGCCAGCGTTGAGCCTTGCGAGGATTTCTATGGCTACGCCTGTGGTAATTGGAGTGCAAACTACGAAAACACTCAAAGCTATTTGGATATGCCTGGCTACATGGATTACAAATACAACACACAACTACTGAACGCTTTAGAAAGGCACAGCCAGCAAGGCGGCATCTATGAGCTGCTATGGGCGTACTATGTGGCCTGTCGTGACTTGGAGCAGCCGGCACTAAATGAGCTGCTGCACTTGCTGGAGCCTCAATTGGGTCTGGAGTGGCCCATTTTTCGAAGCAATCACAGCGAACAGTGGCGCAACGAAACCCGATTCGATTGGCTGGCCACGCTGGCCAAGCTGCGTATCTATGGCCTAAATGGCGTCTTTATCAAACAGGATGTAAATGTGCGACGCGAAAATGGATCGCATTATGTGTTGCTGTTGGCGCCGCAACCAGCCGATGCGGACCCGTTGGGTGAACAGGAGGTAGAAGATTTGTACGTAGCCTTTGGACTGGATGAGCCACTGGCCAAGAATCTGACCGCCAAGTTAATGCAGCTGGAGTGGCGTCTAGGCAACATTACGCTCCAGGAAGCTGAACAATCGACGGACAGCCTGACCGAGTGGACATTCGCAGAGCTACAGCAACGGCTGCCCCAAATTAATTGGCGTCACTATTTGGCAGAACTACTGGATGCAGATGTGGCGGATTCAGTGCAGCTGTTGCAGGTAACAGCGCTCAATGCCAGCTATCTGGAGCAGCTGCAGCTGATACTCGCAGAGAGCTCCAACGAGACAATCTGTTATTATCTCATGTTCAAGCTGCTCTATGCATTCAACGAGGAGTTGCCGCCAACCGGCTCGAATGAAACGCGCTCCACGGCCTGTGTGCTGCAGCTGCGCGGTCACATGCCACTGGCCATGAACTACCTGTACGAGCTGCACTACTATAGTGAACGACGTGCGACAACTGATGCGGCGCTGCAGAAACTGCAGCTAAAGCTAACCAAGGAGTTTGAACGGCTGATCAACGAGAACTATTTGCAATTAGATGCATTGGAGCTGTCCTATGTGCAGGAGGAGCTGCACAGTCTGCGCCTCAAAATAGGCAATATTCCACAAGGCCTAACAATGTCCCAGTTGATGACATACTACAAGGACTTGCAGCTACAACACAATGATTTCTATGGCAACAAGTTGCAGTTGCTACGGTTTTATCAACGGCTCGACCAACAGCTGCTGACCAACCAGCCAGGCATGTGGCCGGCCCATGAATACTATCAGCAGGACGCAGTCGTGGCACGCAGCTCGTCCCCAGTGAAAATCTTTCAAAATGCCGTGCTGCTGCCACACGGCTACTTGCAACTGCCGCTGTACGATGCTCGCCTCTCCGACTTGTTGCAGCACGCCCAACTGGGCTTCATTTTGGCGCACGAGCTGCAGCATGCATTTGACTTATTTCACATTGTGTACGATGGCCGAGGCAACTACAATCAAACCGGGCTGGCGGTGCTACAGCATTTTGCCAACTTCACCAGCTGCTATACCGAGCACAATGCCCAGCAGCAGCTGCTGCTCTCCGAGAGCATGTCGGACATTGTGGGCTTACGCCTGGCATTTGCATCCTACTTTGATGGTGTGCCACCCACTGACCGCCCACCCGTGGGCAATTACACACAGCAGCAGCTCTTCTTTATCAACTCGGTGCAATTCTTGTGCGCCAACATGCAAGAAATTACGGGCATGAGCATCACGCAGGATGCGGAGCACGGCCTGCATAATGAGCGAGTCAATCGCAATTGGCCGCATCACGAGCAATTTGCCAACGCTTTCAACTGTGCTGCCGGCCAGGCCATGTACCAGGCGGACAAGTGCCGGCTGTGGTGAGCTAGAGATCTACTACGATATAGAGTGTTGCGTGCGCCTAATATAGTCAATATCGATTAACAGTCAGCACAGTTTATGCATGCTGGCTGCCCAGGTGCATATTAAGTAGATGGAAAAAGTGTTTTATACACTCAAATGAGAGCTATACGCTTTGAATATATTAAAATTATCTACTACGTTATCTAAATACATATACAAGTTATAATTGATTAAACACAAAGTGAGTTTAAAGAAGTCAAGGAATTATTTTTGTTCTCTTGATCAGTCACTCGAATTGAGTAGAGAGTATCCACTAGGTTAGTGCTTTTCCACGCAAATGATTAATATGAGCACGTAAATGACCTTGGATGGCATAAGGTAACAACCACTACAACAACCAGAGTCCACGCAGCAATAACAATAACGTGCATAAATTACGCGACCTCCATTAATATGTAAATGCGGCCACGCCCTCATTCATCCATCCATCCGGCCATCCATGATGTCAGCGCTACATTGTCAAAAGGCTCAGCTTGCTGTGCAAATTATCCGCATCAGGCCAAGGAACCAATTGGACGCGGATCGGGTTAGGGCGCAGTGGGCAGCGGGCGCGGGCAATGACTGTCATATGTTGTGTTATATTGTATTTTATTTAATTTATTGTCGCGCATATTTTGACGGCAATTTATGTGGCCCACGCACGTGTTGCATTTGGATGCAGTGCTCGCTCGAAAGCCAGCCAGCCAGCCGAAGGTGCGGGGCACGCGACTTGAAAGTGTTGCAAATTTAAATTGTGTCAGTGGTGACAGTGCCGCAAATGCGCCATATGCTTGGGCATGGGCATCGGTATGGGCATTGGCATGGGCATGGAGCATGGGCATGGTCATGTCCGACACTTGATACACATTTCACACAGAGTATAAAAAGTTAAAACAGAAAAACTACGGTCGCTGCACAGTGGGTCAATTTAACGAAAACCGTTATGAGTAATTTGCAATATATATTTATCTGTATAAGCTTCGGTCTTGTAAATAATTGAGTCAACTATATCCAACTATAGGGTATCCTTGAGCGAGTCATTCAAATCTACAAGCCACAGCCAACATGTGATACAATTTCGATAATAATTTCAAGCATTTCTCGTTAATTTTCGGCCACTGTTTTCGACTTTGTAGGGTTTCAGATCCGACAAAGAACGCCGCTCATATATTTCAAAACAAATGACAGCCGCGGGAGCCATGCAAATGCCACACATTTGGCCACCAGTGCCGGCATCTCACCAATTGGTCACTTGATACACATTGGACAAACCGGTCGCCCTGTAAATGTTTTCATTTTACATACATATATATTCGTTTCTCTCTTTTTTTTTTTTTTTTTTTTTTTTTTTTTTTTTTTGCTATTTGTGATGGCCCGTGGGGTGCGCTTAGCTGAGACGGGAATGTTTGTGGACGGCTCTTGCTAATTAATGCGAGCGTACAGCAAATTAAAATGCAATTTAAGCAGCAGCTGTCTTCTTGGCTCGTTTTCCACTGAGCTGCATTCGTGCGGCGCTTGTTAGGCCACCGGTTAAGCCTACACACGAGGCAAAAGCAAAGCCAAAGTCAAAGTAGAGCCAAAGCGAACAACAAATCCAGAGCTTTTCTAACGAAGTTTTTTGCCTTACAGCAATGTGGGTTAAATGCTTTTTGCGGCTTGCAGCGCTGCAAGTTTCATTTGGCCCCGTGTGTTTGCATTTGTGGTGTATACATACACTTTTTGCTCGTGGCTCCGCTGCTGGCGCTTTTTCTTTGTGTGCTGAATGCAAATTTTCAATTTGGCTAATTGACTCGAAAAGCTTTTCATTTAATTTTATTAAAGCATTCGATGAATTGCGCAAAAAGTTGCATTTACTTTTTGTTTGCTGTGCGAAAATCAAATGAACGTAACATATATTGTATAAATGAAAACTCAATTAGTACGCAATTATGTTCGACCGTTTTGCGGTAACTGTAATTTAATTTATGTGTGTGACTGTGTGTGTGTGTGTGTGTGGGTGTTAATGTATGAGTGTAAAGTAATAAGCTTACAACATTATTACACAGCTGGGAATTATTTGCTCTTAGTTGCATGATGCATTGTCGACTGGAGAGAGATTTGTGGGAGTAAGTGTAGCTAATGAGTCACAGTCATAAAGTTATTATATTTACAGTTATAAAGTCCAAACACAACTGTATATTACACACGAATAAGCCCCTAATACAACAAATTTTAGCAAATTCGTTTTTTTCAAACTGAACTCGTTTCAAACTATCTACATCAATTATAAATAACAAACAATGTTTTTCATTTATTTAAATTGAAATATTCATAGGCTTAAACTAATTGAATTGCATAGCAATGTTTGTCACTATCTAAGCGTTCCTCGACACGACTACTGTTGCTGTGTCGAGGGCCATTGATAGCTAGTTGGGCTTGCCTACATTCAGCCAGTGAACTTATTACAAGCGAACCTTATCAATAACAAGTCTTTATCACTGCATGTTTGCAGCTGTTCTGTGTGTGTATATGTGTGTGTGTGCGTCTGTGGCACGTTCTATATCCATGCTAAGTAATAATTTATTATATTTATTATTACGCATACGCCCCGTGGTGTGTCAGAATTTTGATTCATTGAGAACTCTTGGCTAACTGGTTTCAATGCCAGTAATGCTCCATTAATCAGCAGGCAATAATTTGGCCAACAGGTATGTTTTTTTTTTTTTTTTGACAGGCATATAAACGGACATGCAGTTTTGTGTTTAAACTTGTTTGGCGTTTAATATTACAAGTAACTAAACAATTTCCGGCACGGCTGCAACTATGTCAACTCGATAAGATTTGCATGCGCCACAAAGACCGACCTAAATATATATATATATATATTGTTATTCAAGTGTGTGTGTGTGTGTTTGTGTCTTGATTGACAGACTGCAGTAGGTTCTCGGCTCTCGAGTCTCGACACTCGTCAGCCAGCACTTTGGTCACTCAATTATTTATGCTGACACTTAGTGCGCTTGAGACTGCAAGATAATTGGCAAAACGTCGATACAAACATACGAGCAATATACACACCGCACACACGCACAAGCACCAGCATAAAGACGCACAAACACGTAGAGCGCGACGCACGTGGCGTATGCGTAACGCAAATGCCGACTGGCGACCCTTGTTAATGCGTTGGCAAACAGCATTAGCACAACCGGCGTACACACACACACAAGTATATACGCATATATATATATACGTATTCATACACGTTATATATGTAGCTTGTTGTACCAGGCAAACATGACCATAGACACCACAAATGCCATTTTATGCACTCTGTCAAATTTAATGGCGCTCGATTGGCGCTGCAAATTTGCAAATTTGGCTGTCCAACCAAAATAGGTGGTCGCTGCATTTAATTGCTGCCCACTGTGGCTAGCACAGGTGCTGGCGAAAATGTCAAATCAAAAATCTTGTCAATTGGCTAAAATGCGGCGAACCGAACGTAATTATCATCAGCTGCCAAGTTTGTATGGAAGAACGGAAGCAAATACCCAAAAGGGAGTGCGAAGACCGATAAGTAAATGTGAAAGGAATAAATGCTGAAAGGGAAATATCACAACTGAAGTGGCTGCTGAGAAAGACAATTGAGTGAATGACGACGCACTGAAAGAAGGTAAGAAGTGATGAATAATTGTGAGTGGAGTCAGCACTTTATCACGTTCAACGATGATTCACTTATGCATTTGAAAGATTATTATTATATAACGCGATTCACTCACTTTTCGGATTTGCCACACTTCTCAGAGGGCTATCTAATATGCAGTTAATCGCTTTTCGCCGGACCGGGACAAGTGCTGTTGCCGCAAGCAATTAGCCAAAGTGTCGTCTCCGTATGCTTAGCAACACCAACAATAGCAACGACAACAACAACAACAACAACTGGCTATCCGGCATCTGTGCACATGGCTCTGCTCATAAAGCTCCGGCAAACATTTGAGTGGCGCCGTCGGTCAGCTTGGAATTGGGCGTGGCACTTCATGACATCCACGCACACACACACCCACAGAGCATTTCATTCATGCAACTTTGGGTTTGTTTGCCGTCCTCGTTGTTGCGTTGCGTTGTTATCGTTGCTTTTTTGTTTACGCTTCATTTGGCTCTTGATGCCCTTTGTTTCGGCTATGATAGCTGTGTCACATAATGTGTGACGTATAGCATTAAAAGAGCTTGGCCGCTTCATCAATGTAGCAAAGTTAACAATTAAATATGTTTCGCCTTGACCAAGCAAGACAACAGCAAGATTAGATATGATATAAATATAGAATGCAAAAGAAAAAGTTATATAAAATCAGTTGCTAGCGAGAGGGTATTGAAATTGCGCTGTGCCGACAAAAATCGCTCTTATTATTACTAGGTTCCATTTGGATTGTCGCCGACGGCGTCATCGTCGTTGTGACCGCCTTATTGGGGCGCATTGGGCGCACGCTTTAGCGCTAATTAACAGTTGCGTTCAAATCTTATAAATTAAAGCAACATTTATTACCGTAATTGTTAGTTGTAGCTATACCCTGTACGCAGCGCTGAAAGTGGAGATACTGTGCTAAGTCTTAAGTCAGTGTGTCGAAATATGTGACAAATATATCATCTTTTTGTAGTCCACATATTTATTACTTTATAATTTTCATTATCTTATCGGCATCTTTCGTAATATTCATTTGATATCGCCCTTTTTCTGCTATCTGCATTTATCCCTCCTCTAACGTGCATAATTCTGCGTGAATTCAATGTTTTTATTATTCTAACCACAAAATGCTTAGGAATACTGAAATACAATGCCAGTTAGCCGTATATCACCGGATATAGAGTAAATTGCTTTAGATTGGCAAATGCTATTCAGTTGAATTATTCTCCGCATATTCAAACGGAATGCAATGAGGTATAAAGCATCGTATTTATCGCCTTTATAAGGCATACAGAAATGCCCAGACATATAAGTACATATTGCCTTAGAGCTGACACAAAAAGGCGCTGGCAAATAAGCAAAGTCAACAAATTGGGTTTGTGTTTATTTTAGAATTTGCATGGCGCTAAATGCGGACTCGTGTTTGCGCGATTTCCGTGTTTACGGTAATCAAAGTGGGGGCAAGCCAACCGAAATGCTTATTATAAAATTTAAAAGCCTTTCAACTGTGCTCATTCCAAATGCATTTCTCTAGTTTCAATTTATAATTCATTTGACTTTAATTTAGGGAACAGAAGGCCGGAAGGTTTGTTGGCTGCACTTCATTGCGGCAATAAAACAAAGCAATTAAAATAGCTGCCAGGAGTTGGAAATGGACCACAATGAAGTGCCCAGACTTATGTGGGTCACAGGCTCCAAATAGCTGCTGCCAGTTGCCTGCCTGCCTGCCTGCAAAGTGCCTGTCGGACAGCTAGCTAACTGGTCTGCCCACGGTCCCGGAAAAGCCATTACAATGCCAATCGACAAAATGCTGACAGGCTTGCCCAAATGGCATCTCGACAGAGCAGATGGCAAGTTTTTCGCAACACTCCAAAAACTTTTACAGGCGGACGCTGTCGGCCACAACAGCACTCTCGCTTCCCAGCCAGGACATGGCATAGAAACAGTCCTTCTCTTTATTCTATGGCAATTTAAGTTTTTAATATGCATTTATCGTGTCGTCAGTGGTTGTTGCAGTTGCAGTTTCTGTTGATGTTGTTATGC